GTTCACTAAGAGAGCTACCAATAAGCCTAAACTAATGGGCCAATATTCAACTCCATATTAATCACTAAATGGGCCAACTAACCAAATAATCATCCAACCCAAACTGAGCCATCCAAAAGTGTAGTTCGTCTCCGAGCCGAGCCAAGTCCATGGTGTCGATAAATAATCCGACAACTGTTTTAAATCATCGTCCGAATTATTGAGTATCAAAAAACCTAACAGTTATAGATGGAAACTCAACAAAGTGCGAACACACAAATAGTAAGAGGATTGGTAATGTACAAAACAATTGAACTTAGAACATTATCAAAGACGGTCAATTCTCAATTTGTTGAACAATTTAGTTAAATTACATAAATGTTCTCCCAATTTTGAATTTTTCTACTCAACCAACTTCTGCATTGTCCTAATTCAACTAACAGGCAATTTTCGCTAGTATGTCACTTGTTGGCATAGTATAAATTGGCTCTCTTGCCAATCTTTTGTATATACATTTTTTAGAGATTCCCAAACAGAGTGGGCTGTTTATAGCCCAACAACGACTCCGAGAACTTCTTCTGAGAGTCTCTATGATCTACGGTCTACCCACGAAGAAGGCGGTCAGACTTTCGTCAAGCGATGAAAGCTTCAGTCAGTGTTGGTGTTTGGGATTTGGCATCTGGATTGGTGCTTGGATTTGGGGTGGTGTATTTGGTGGGGGCTGGATCTTTCATTTGTAAGATGACCAATCAGCTCTTGACTTTCTTCTAGGGCCAAAGCTTGTTCACGCCACAATGGATAACTAGTTAGGGTGAGTTTGAGGGTAATGAATTTGCCAACATTAAGAGAAAGAGTAGTTATGGTAGAAGAGTTGTGATGAACTATGTGAAGCAAAGTGCTCACATTGGCTCTAATACAAAGAAGAAAATATGGAACTGAATAAAGAAAATGTTTTTATTTCTCTTCTTGTAGTTTTGAGCGTGAGCACTATGCAATACAAGAGTATATATTTAAAGGAAATAATACAAACAGATTAACATAAATTCTATCAACAAATTAACGTAAATTCTACAGATATTGTGTTCTTCCCATCTTTGTCTTATCTCCTTCTTTAAATATTTTTAACTGGCGTGGTTGATGCAGCTAGATGCTACTGGGCATGATGTTGTTTCGATGCATTCCTCCAAAGAAGGGATAGGACTGGGATATATTATTTTGGACTGATTTACTGTTATCTCTTGCAATATTTCCATATCTTGTTGGACCATATTTTGGTTTGAATTGGGGGTTTCCTTATTACTGCTTTGATCCTCACGATAATGGTTGCTGTCGAATTGTCATGAGCTAATAAGAAAATTTCAAACATCCCAAATTTAGTTTTGATTTTGATTTTTATTGAATTTGATAAAACAATTGGATTTTCTTCCATTTCTTCTCTTTGCTCTTGACATTTTTCGAAAATCCATGATTTTATGATCTCACATTTGCGATCTTTTACGCTTAGGGTTCATCTTCTCCCATCTTATATGTGGTCCCCTTCAACAACAATCTATTAAACCATTTTGGTTACTGAAGTTTGAGTCAAATTTCAATTGGATTATTAAATACATAGTTTAGCCCCCGTTTGACTCCCATTTTTGGTAATGAAAATGAGAGGAATAGTATTTTGATGAAAAAATGAGTGGTTGAAAAAGAATGAAACTTTTTTGATTTACGTGTAATATTATTTTATGGAAGATTGTGTGGTTGAAAACAGGAGAGAGAAAAATAGAATTTAATTTAATGTAATTTAATGGGGGCCAAACAGGATATAAGTAGCATTAGGTTGCCATGCAACCTCATTTGTTTTTTTTTTTTTTTTTTTTTTTTTTTTTAAAAAAAAAAAGTGAAACACACTTATCTATTAAAAGGCATGTGCGCATGCAATAAAATCATTAAACACTTAAATCTCAATAAACAAAAAAATTAAATGAGATTCATCCCCGAATAATTGGTAAAAATGATGGCTCTGAGGAGGAGGCATAGGAAAATCGTGCCACAAAGTTTTTATTCACTTTCCTTGAGCCATGAAAAATGTTTATACAAAAAATAAAAACTAAAACCGGTTTACCATCTTTTATTTATTGAGTTATCGAGTATTGTGTATTAGTCATGGCCTAAGTGTGTACCACAAGAATGAAACGAAGAAGTCCACTACTATTGTAAGTGTTATACCCTAGGTTCAATCAATATTGGATATAAATACTTTTAATTTATAATTAATGTAATTTAATGGCAGATCTATTATTTAATTAGTATACAATTAAATTGAATAATAGAGTTCGTATATTCAAATCTTCATAATTTGTTAATCACAAGGAGTTGTGATTGTGAGATACAAATTATATATGATTGAATTTTCGTGGTCGTAAATAATAACGAAATACAGATATCGTTATTAAGGATAGACCATCACGTGTGATATTTCTTACTTGTGAATTAAGTAACTGATCTCACAAGCTAAAGTGTGGTGACACTTGAATGAACACGTAAATATTTTGTTATAGAACAAAACATTGGAAACCCGCCTAGAGATTCCACATTGATAACTATCTGAGTGTCAGTGGTTAATCTCTAACGTTCGATAGTGGGATTGGTTCTTTGACTTGAGGTCATCATAATACTTTATATGAGGATAGTCATGTTTTGATGGTGTTGGATATTGCTTCTCCAAGGACCGCTAATACGACATCGTTTAAGTATGTCAAGAATCGTATGAAGGTTGTGAATGACCAATAGGGGATTCGTCACTCTTAGATAGTAAGAGATTATGATCTGCATTTTATTTAATTAAGTCGATAACGAAATCTTTGGCCAAGATGTACTCATAAGTCGAAAATGAGTTTTTGACTTATATTGACTTAATAGTGAAGTGAAAGATATGATTAATAATCGAGATTGACACACTTCCATATCTAGTAATTGATCGGATCATATGACAAATGGATTATAGTTTCACGGTAAACGAACGAATTTGATTTTTTCATACCACGTGACATTTTTCCGTCACATGTATTGCCCTAACATATTGCTAGATGTCAATCTGGGACGGCGAGTATAATTGTTGATAAATTAAAGAGATGTTTTAATCTATCAATTTTGATTAGATTAAAATAATGTTTCACGTCGTTACGTATCGTGATCGGGAACATGATGGGTCGTACACAAAAGAGAATTGGAAGATTGCAATTTGTCAATTAATTAATTTAACAATCGTTGGATAAATTAATTAATTGAGTTGGTTATTTATAGGCCCAATTAAATAATTGAATTGATTAATTTACGGACAGAATTTAATTAAATATTGGATCGGGTTAGGTGAAGCCCATTTGGGCTTATATACATGGCTAGGGTTTTCAAATCGGTAGAGAATTCATTATTCTTATTAGCACGGGAAGAAAACTCTAATCTTGCAATCTTGTTCTCTGTGTGGATCACCGTTGGAAGCTGGACCATTGAACATGTGTAGGTGACAGATCGAAGTTGTTGGAACGAAAAAAATGGCAAAATGTTTGCAAAATTTTTAAAGGTACAATTTTTATCTAAACACAGAGAGATCCTTAGTGGGAATTGAAAAATTATTTTATTTTCGTTGTGCATGATAAATAGATTCCCAACAACTATTTCAAAGAACTGTGAGTGTCAAGCCGTGATATTATGTCACCAAGAACAATCAAAATTCTGTCATCTGGTTCACTTTCCAAAATGCAGTGATAACTCCCTTCGTAGAGTTTAAGTGATTTGTCCTGGCTAGAAGCATTGTTGTAAAGAAATTGGCTCACTTGAGATCAGTCACTCTATCAGTAGTTTTCTAGTAGAAAATTTATTCTTTCAAAAGAAAAATGCATTTGTTACATCCATAAATTATATAGGATACACATGGCGAAGGGGTTTCATATATGCCAGTATTTAACTGAATTGGGCCTATTTAATTAAACAACCGCATTTTGGGCTTTCCACTTCTCTTATATATGTGTGTGTGTGAATTCATTATTTACCAAGGTATTTTTTTTAACCCTAGCTAAATCCCCTCATTTTGTCTCTTGCATTTATGTCATATCTCGTCCAATCGTTGGCTTGACCATCGAGTCAAACGGTCATTAGACATTTTTCTCGATTGGTGACCTTTTCCTCCTAATGAGTTGTTCGAGTGTGCAGTTGGCGTCTATGTGGAGGAGAGGTGGCCAATATCCCGTTTATACATTTTTTTGAGGTCCACAGCATTCACTAAGACAAATCATCACGAGCTACAGGTGAAATAAAACAACAGACTATACTCAATCCAACTAAACAAAACTCCTTCAATAGCAGTGAATTTAAGTAATGTGTTATTTTAGCAGGGTTCATTTTATACCAATTCATGAACTCTATACTTGTAGTAGTAGTTAAAACTGTGAAAATTGAATAGTTTGTGAAAACTTGAGTTATCTAACTTCTCTAGTGCAATTTTATGCTAACAATGATACTATAGTTATTCACCATTCTCTCGAAAGAGTCTCCTCTACATTGTGAATATCATGAAGCAGCACTTTAACACATCTAATTCATCACTTCAAAGAAACCTATGTAAAATGCATAACCAACACGATCCATCCCATGTAACTCTAGCATGCGTCGATGATGAATACTAGACCCACAGTTAGTCTTGATAGTGGATATGGCACCTAGCTCACATTCACCATAGGTGCACATCGCATTTCAAGTCCACTAGAACTACATAGGCAGATCGTGTCAACAAACATATAATGAAATATCATTGTTCGTAGTATCTAAAGCTGCGCACCTAGGAGAAAACATGGAAAGTCCCCTATATCAATACTAAAGTATATATTCAATAGTCGTTTTAATACAACTTAAAATATATAGCCTAGTTTAGTACAGCCTTCTCAAAAAGACACATTCCTAAATTTGCAAGTGTATATGCTCCTCTTTCATCTTCAATTGTGATTTAATTTTGTGACGAAAAAAACTTGCAACGACAACAACATAAATTTCTTACGCATATAACATTACATAACAAGTAATAAAATGAACCCTGTATCATGACATGAAATGTAATTTCAAAAACAAAAAAAAGTTAGAAAATCTGCTCTGCATGCTAAGAATTAATTTTCTGAAATAAGAGTGTATACATGTGCATATATGAACAAAGCGATTCAGAGGCACGTGTTTTTGATAAAATCACTAGAAATTACTGGTAAGGCAACAACCACTTTAGAAGATTGAACACATAGTTATATGGTAACAAATAAAGCCTATCAATTACATGCATACTCTGCCTACCGTAAGATTTATATTATTTATTTTCTGAGCCATATTGCTTAAACTTTATCCCATATTAAGAAACACTTCTCCTTTTGGGCAATCTTAGGGACTAAGGCTCTGTTTGAGCCCCGTTTTTTGGGGGAAGTAGATTTTGTAATAGTGATTTTTTGAAAAATGTGTGGTTAAAAAGTTTTGCGCTTATGTGTAAAAATAATTTATGGAGAGAATGTCTAGTTGAAAATGAGATTTGAAAAAAATAATAAATAAATAAAAAATGAATTTTTAGATAATGTGGCTTAAACATGGGCTATCTTATAAAACACACAAAAAGAATGTCCCACTTCTAAAACGAAGAGGCTCCCGAGATGCTCACAAAACATCCATTCCAAAAACTTCAAGTTCAAGAAGGGCACAATAGCGAATAGCCCCAAGACCACAACTACCTTGAAAGCCTCTTATCTTTCGATGTGGGACAGTCTATGTATTTTCTCTTATACTCTCCTAGTGTATGAATTCAGGTGTTAGGTCAACATATTAGGTTACATAGAGGAAGGCAAGAGAAGCACAGGGATATTAATAGCGAATCCACAGCAAAGGAGGTGGAGTATCCCGATGATCTCATCTTATTCCTTAGGACTTATGTATGTTCTGTAAGATATATATTACTTTTTATAAAAGATAAACAACAAACCATTTATTTTTTCTTCAATTCTCTGAATGCCAGATCTGCCAAATCTTTCTGGGGTACGAGCTTCGCTTGTGGGATAATCTTAGACAAGAAAATTAAGACCTTCTGAAGCGAAACAGGTGGTGTCATGTCCTCTGCAATCTTGGAAACCATTCGAAAGTCAGCAATTTCATACAGAAAAATGGCAAATTTGCAATGAATGACATGGATCATGCAATTTCAATACCATCAAGAGCAGAAGAGAAGAATCTCCATCAATATTATTCTGTGTCAACCAGAAACTAACTATCCAGAATTTCAACAAAGAGTAAAGATGGTAATATTACTTTACATATTGGGGCTACAAGGACTATGCCATCCCATTGACGTGGTTCCTTAAGAATCGCCTTAAGAGCAATTGCTCCCCCCATCGACTGTCCAAAAATGAATAAAGGGAGACCTCGTATCTCCAGCTTCCTGCACATCGTAAGAGAAAATATGGTGTGCTTGGACATTTAACACAAAAACATAAGGGCAGAGTACCAATATTGATGTTCATTCTCTTGAATATAAAGGAAAGTAATTGACCTAAGAGATACAAAAATAAACCTGGATGGATATATATATCAAGCAGAACTGTATTCATTATAACACGTACTTGAATGCATACCTTTAATTATCGTATCTTGTGCGATGACATTATCAACTACGCCATCAAACGATGAAACGTAGCCATGCAATCCTTCTAATAGACCAAAACTTGGATGATCCATTGCATAGACACCATAACCCAAAGAAGCAATGTGCTTGGCTATGCCTGAAACTCGGAATTTTTGAAACATAAGATATCTCTCCAATAAGAAAAATGAGTTGAATGACAGTTCAATGATGTAATACTAATGTATATGGAAAATAAAGGTGTTACAGGGAATGAAAAGCTACAAACCTTCAAAGAAAAAAGTGTAAGTATCACCATATCCATGACAAAAACACAATGCCCCTCTGATTCGTACACCCGACTTTGGCAACCAACTTTTGCAGAAAATTTCTTGTCCCTTTGAAATTTTTTCATACCACTAAACAATTTATACACTCAATAGTTAAATTTGGGAGAATATTTATCCTCTTTTTAAGTTAAAGTCCTCTTCCTCATAAAATTATACAAAGTTACCAACTTGAACTTGATACTATTATGCTCAATTGATATGTCAAACAAAATACATCAAGAAATTGAATTAAATTAACAGCAAAAAGTTTCAAGATAATCTCCTCTGTTCTGATCCCAGCTAGAGCCATCTATTTACCACATAAATAAAAATTATTGATTAATCAAAACCAGTCAAGACTAAAAATTGGGAAAAAAATAAATTGCCCAGCTGCCAAAACATCAGTTGATCGAAGCAAAACAAACCTTAAACAAAATATGATCAAGCTGCTGCTGAATATTAGTGAAAGCCGATCGCACTCTTCTACGGGCAGGAGCATGGTCCAAGTTCTGTGAGACAATTGAGTTCAACTCGTCACTCACACCTTCAATTTTTTGCTTCTTCTGGACCATAACGGTCACTGTTTGTCTTGAAAGTGTGGGTTTTGGGTTCAGATTTTGCCGGAAAATAAATGGACTATAATGATTTCGGCCACAGTGTACAAATTCTGGGGGCGGGGGGCGGGGGGGTTAAAAGTGGCTGGAAAGTTGAGTTTAGAACAAATTCATTGGGAATCAAAAATCCTGTTGAAAAGTGATGGCCCAATGGGTACTTTTTGATTTGGGGTCAACCTAAGGGTGTCAAAAAGGTTTGACGGCGAACCTCGGACAAATTGAGCCCCATTTTGGGGATAAAGGCCGAGCTCGAGCATGCCTATGAGCCTTTAATTAAAAAAAAAAAAAAAAGTATAAAAAACAGCATTTGCTACCTTAAAAGGTAGAATTTTTACCTTAAACGCAACTAGAAGTGGGAGGGGAAAAAAAAAAAAAAAAAAAAAGGAAGAGAGAGAGTCGGCTCGGCTCTGAAAGTCCAAGCCAAAAGCTCGAGTCGAGTCAAAATTTTTGCTCGGCTCGTAAAAAAAACTCGACCAATTTAATTAAGCCGAGCTTGAGCCAAAATTTTAGGCTTGGGCTCGACTCGATTTATTGACATCCTTAGATCAACCTCGTGTACAATCCCTGGATAAGAGAGGGTCCATGTCCGATAGCAAAATTGGAATATAAACTGAACAAATAGCATCATAGACTGGGTTTTTTTTCCAGAAAATGAAATGGTTGATGTTGATTGGCAGTTTTTTTTTTAAAAAAAAATTTTAATTGTCAATGAGAAAATGTCAACTGTATTTCGTGTGTAAATTCCTATCATTAAATTTGTTCCTATAGCAGAATTGAAAAATTTATGGGTCACCCTCTTTTGAGAAGGGTTTGTAGATCGGAGTGTCAACCTCATGTACACATAACAAAGTCCTTTGAGTCGTCCCCCGGGACATAGCTCAGTGGTGGAAAGGACATGAGTGAGGTTATCTCATACCTTACTGACAGCCGCAGTGTAGGAGTTCGACCTATTGAGGCACATTCCGCAATTTACCTCACTCGCAAAGCTTTAGGGGGCAGAGCGATGAAGGCTCTCAACGTTGGGGTTCAACTTTCTTTTTTTTTTTTTTTCTAACAAAGCCCTTTGAGTTTCTCTGCTAAAAATAAAGACACGTCAAATGTGGTGTCTGATCAAGACTGTAAAAGCATGTAAATCACATTCTTCTTTAAAAAATTCCTCTTGAATTTGTATTGTCAATCGGGGTCAAAGAAAGATGCTTTTGTGATGGGAAATTATGCTAGAAAAAGAGGTTTTTAATTTGTATTGATTGGATATCTCAATTCAAAAGTTGAAAAAGAAATAATGTATATATATTATAATTTTTTCAATTCTTGAATATATAAAAACAAAATAAAGACAAAGAAATATTCGTATGTGTACATCTCGTTGAGGCCACACCACTTGGGCAAGAAATACATAAAAATGGTCGATTGACATGGCTATATTTCCATTATGACATTTCACCAATAAAAAAATAGTTAAAGTTAAAATTGTGAAGTTAAATACCAAAATAGTCAACTTTGCCGACTATTAACGACTTCTTAGGCCGACCTATCAGTCAGTTGCCCAAATCTCCTTAGTTTTTGCCCACTTTTTTCTTCATTCTTTTATAGTTTATCAATTATTTTCTTTTTATGATATTTTAATTTTTTCAATTTTAGATAATACTAATATTCTTTATTTAATTTTTATAATTTCCTTTTATTAATTTTTTTTATTACTATTATTTTTTGAAAATAGTTTTAAAATTTCTGAATTGTTTTCTTCATATTATAAATAATTTTTTTTTTCAATTTAAAAGTCTTTTCCCTTCTTTTCTTTTTATGATAAACTTTATTTTTCTCATTTTTAATTAAATAATATTTATTTTTTTTATTTAGTTTTATAATTTTTCATTTAATTTTTTTGCTTTTATTATTATTTTTTTGGGAAATAATTTTAAAATTTCTCAATTGTTTTTTTCATATTATAAATAAATTTTTTTCACTTCAAAATTCTTTTTAATTCTTTTCTTTTTTGATAAAATTTAATTTTTAACCTTAATTAAATAATATTTATATTCTTTATTTAGTTTTTATAATTTCTTTTCATTTAATTTTTTTCGTTTTATTCTTTTTTGGTAATAATTTAAAAAATTCCTTAATTGTTTTCTTCTTATTATAATTTATTTATTTTTATCAATTTAAAATACTTTTTAATATTCGTATTTTATTTTTTATATTTTAATTTTCTGTAATCTATTTTTCCTCTTTATTTTTTGTCATTATTTTGTATTTAATTTAATTAATTATTTTTCTTAATTTTTTTAAATTTCTTAATTATTTTCTATTTATCATATTTTTTCCAATTTAAATTCTTTTATTCATTCTTTAATTTTTATATTTTTAAAATTATTTTCTTTAATTATTTTTTTAAAAATTTTTCTTTAATTCATTTTTTTCATTCATTTCCTTTAATTTATTAAATCTTTTATTTTTTTTGTTTGCGTTGGTGTAAAATGAATCTATTTCTTGCGTGTAATAGTTAAAATTTGATTCGCTTAATTTTTGGAGATTATACTTTATTACATTATCTCTTGTTGAAGGTTCTAACAATTTGAATTTTTGTAGGACGGAGTACTATCTTGATACAGAGTTGAAAAAGTTGGTAGGAAAATGTATTTGAAACAATAACTTTGAGAGTTTTTCTACTGTATTGGAGTTGCTCAATGATTAGCACGGAGATATGCTACGCAGTCCTTCTTGTGGCTCATGTATGAATTGAAAGAAGTGCAGCACTCTGGTCAGATCATTGATGCATTACTATGTCGATTGCTTAGGCTAGTCGATGGTTATGTCCTCCACTTCGACCCAGGGGCAAGGTCAGTAGTTTCTCTATGTTTGAGTTTACCCTAATGATAGACTGAAGATTAAGGACGATGAAGCAGCTAGCAATAGACTAGTCATCATCAGAACACGACAAAGGTGAGACAATTGAAATCATAAGTATTTACAATTTTTATTTTAAATTTGAAAACTTAGTTTTTAACTATACATTATCGAACTAAAACATTATTATTTAATGCAAAGTGTTACATGTACATAATAGTGTCCATAATTACATGTCGTACTGAATCCAACTTTTAATTCAAATCTCACACGAACATCAACAACCGAATAATTGCTACATCACATTATGAATAACATTGTGTGCAATAATTATGTACATGTAGACTTTTCCTTATTTAATTGCATGGATGATTGTGACATGTTCACAACCAAGTATATTGACACGTGAAATACATTATGTACTGCCAATAGTATATGTGGCAATGCTAAACGGTATGCCACATTCCAATTTTGTTTAGGATTTCAAAAGATCCTATAAATTAGGATCTCAACTTTTTCTTCTTGCCAAATCTAATGACCCATTTTATTGGTGAAATTTTTAAAAACACTCTCTCAGCATCCTCAAATTCTCCTCATTTTCTATTTAGCTTGAGTTGACTTTATTATATCTTTAACTTTATCAATTTCTCGCATTGTCCTTGCAATAATTTTTAGACCCAAAATTCAATTTTCTCTGACTTAATCCCAGTGCACTGAACATCTACTCCTTTTACAATAGAAGGCTTCATAAAGAACCATGTCAATAGTAGTTGGGAAGCTATTATTGTATGCAAACTACACTAACGATAAGCGTAACTCCCAACTACCTTTCAAATCTAATACACAAGCTCAAGCATGTCTTTTAAGATTTGAATAGTCATTTTAGACTATCTACCAAATTGAGAATGAAAGGCAGTGTTGAAATTTAACTTTGTCCTCATAGCTCCTTGCATGCTTTTCTAAAATTTGAAAGTAAACCTTGAATCTTGATCTAAGACGATGGATTCTGGAACTCCATGCAGACTAAGAATTTCCTTAACATATAATTGAGCAAAGTGATCCATATTGTAGTTCATTCTTACCGAAAATAAATGAACTGATTTTGTCAACTTTCCACAACTATCCAAATGGCATGGTGTCCTTTTGTTGACTTCCAAAAACCAACCACAAAATCTGTAGTGATTTGTTCCCATTTCCACTTTAGAATTTTCAATGGATTTAATGGCTCTGATGACACTTGATGTTGTACTCTAACTTGCTGACATATTCTACATTTCTCAACAAAGAGATCAATCCCACTTTTCAATTCATCCACCAAAATATATCGTGAAGGTCTTGATGCAGTTTTGTACCACCGGGATGTAGAGCTTATGGGGGTAGAATTAGCTTCTTCTAATATCACTTCCTTATCCCTTCATCCTTTGGTACACACAACATCCCCGCAAATATCAAAGCATTTTTATCTGCTATTGTAAAACATTTTCTTTTACTTATACCAACTTCTACCTTGATTTTCCTCAAAATGGGTCATTGTCTTGAGCATTTTTTATTCAATCCTTAAGAGTAGATTGAATTTTTAATGTTGCAATTCTTACAGTAACCCTAGCTGGTGGAATGACAACTTGTAATTTCAATTTCTCAAACTCCTTTACCAACTGCGCTTGAGTTGTACGTAAAACTCCTAGTAGTCCTACTGTCTTCCTACTAAGAGCATTTGTGACTACATTAACCTTATCAGGATGGTAATAGATAGTGCAATCATAATCCTTAATTAACTCCAACAACCTTCTCTGCCTCATATTCAAATCCTTTTTTGTAAAGAAGTATTTCAAACTCTTATGATCCGTGTAAATGTTGCATTTTCCTTGTAGAGGTAGTGACGCCATATATTTAGAGCATCTACTACTGTCACCAACTTTAGATCATGCATTGGGTAGTTTTGCTCATGTTATTTTAGTTGTCTTGACGTATATACGATCACCTTTCCATACTGCATTAGTACATATACAAACCTTGTTTGAATGCATCAATGTATATAACAAATCCATCTGAACCCTCTGGGATAGCTGAAATTGGAGTTGTAACCAATTTTTGTTTGTTTGTTTTAGTTCATGAAAGCTCTCTTCACACTTCTCAGTTTATTGAAATTTTACTCATTTCCTCGTTAGTTGGGTTATTGGCCCAGCTATTTCAGAGAATCCCTCAATGAATCTTCAATAATAACCGACTAGTCCTAAAAAACTACGAACTTCACCTATATTCATTGGTCTAGACCATTTGGTTACTGTCTCAACTTTAGTAGGATCTACTTCAACCCTTGTACTATAAACACACGACCAAG